CAAATCAATCATCAACCAAGAAAATGTACTCCAAGCTTGCCCACAGGTCAGTCTAATGGGAGCATTTCTCAACTAAGGTTCCCAAGTGACTCTAGCTTGTGTAAAGTTGGCATAAAACTAGTCAGCACTGGTATGTCCATCCATATTTCTGAGTGTGACACTGGTTCTATAGGCAATACATTCATCAAAACCTACAAAATCTATCATTTGAAAGCATAAAGTTTTTCATGTAGAGAATATAATGCCACAAGAAACCTGTTTGATCTTTCCCCTTAACATAGAACTCTTTTTTTCCTGTGAAACACTTAAGCTTGTTAAATAAAAAATAATTTTCATCAAAAAATTGTACATTTTCTTCCCACATGCCTTGCTTTGAAATAGAAATTACTGTGATCCACTTCCCTGCAAAGGAAATATGACAAAATATTAGAAAATATTTTTTAAAATCTCAAACACCAAAGTCAAGCTAGAGTCACTGTCTTAGAAGCCTCTGCTTCGAGCCAGGCAGTGGTGGTGCATGCCTTTAATCTGAGCACTAGGGAGGCAGAGGCAGGCAGATCTCTGTGAGTTCGAGGCCAGCCTGGTCTACAAGAGCTAGTTCCAGGAAAGCCTACAAAAACAATACAGAGAAACCCTGTCTCAAAAAACAAACAAAAAGAAAGAAAGAAAGAAAGAAAGAAAGAAAGAAAGAAAGAAAGAAAGAAAAGAAACCTCTGCTTCACAGCATACAAAAAGGAGTGGAATTGTTAAGTAACTAAGATCCCTCTGGTGACACATTTCCAAAGATGTAGAGAAGAAGGAGAAAGAAGATGAAAAAGACCTGTGTCACCCTCAGTGTTTGGTATTTTAGTTTTTATCATCGTCTTGCCTGTATGTATGCCTGTAACAGAGTGTAATGATCTGACACCCACAAGAGCTGTTAAATGATCTAATAATCAAGGTAGAGAGAATGCTTGGTGTGTGTGTGTGTGTGTGTGTGTGTGTGTGTGTGTGTCGTGTATGATGTATGCAGGAATGCTCACATGTGGGCATACATCAAGAGCCAAAAGGAAGACATCACATAGTGTCTTGATCTCTCTCTGAATTATTCCGTTGAGACAGGGTCCCCTTCATATGATGGTTTTCTTTCCTTTGTATGTGTTCCTGGAAGGAAACTATTGCTCCAAATGGTGGTTTTCTTTTTAGTATCTTGAAGAACCTCCATACTGTACTCCTAAGTGACTATATTAGTTTATATTTCTTTTCCTTTTTTTTTTTTTGAGACAGGGTTTCTCTGTATTGTTTTTGGAGGCTGTCCTGGAACTCACTCTATAGACCAGGCTGGCCTCGAACTCACAGAAATCCTCCTGCCTCTGCCTCCTGAGTGCTGGGATTAAAGGCATGTGCTACCAACACCTGGCTTAGTTTATATTTCTATCAAGTTGTTTTTATTTTTAACAAGCCAGCCCAGGATCTTCCCTATAATTTTGCTGCTTGGGGCCTGATGTAGGCTCCGTACAGCATTCTGCACACCCATCAGACTGAAACCTTGCTCTTCAGGGTCAGAAGGTCCAGTGGGGTTGAGCTGGACCTGCTCTGCATACTATACCACCTGAATCCAACTCTGAGCAGAGGCCTCTTGAATACCTTGGAAAATGTTCTGGACTATACACCCAAGTGAGAAATGCAATACCCATGTCCTATCATCCCCTCCAGTCTTACGTCTCTCTTAGTGGGAGGTACTTACAGTCCATTGACCTCCTTCCATGTTGGAGAAAATGGTATCACATGCTGCTAACCTTTGAGCCCCAAGAAGCATTGCTTGGGTACCCATCCCTACATCTCCATGGGCTTATCTTCTATCTCCACTCTGTGTTTCTTAGCAGGGGCTTAGGACCCTGCTACTTGCTGCTCACCAGGTTTTGATCTTATCTATATGTTACCATCAACGTTTTGGGGTCCTGGGAGTAGCAAGACAATCAAGGTCCCTTATCTCAACTGATGCATTCCAGATGTCCAGAAAGTAGGACTTTTCACAGGCCCTGATACAAAATTCCAAAGGCAATGTTGCACTTTGTTGTGAGGAGTCCTCTCCCCCTCTTCCTAGCCTAAGGACTCTGCTTTTCTGCTTGGCCTCCAATACTCAGGAAGGGACATCTGAGAATTCTGGATGACAGTGTGACCGCAGCCAAGGGAAAGGCCATCCTGAGAAACTGTCCCCACACCTGGTCTTAAGGTATGTCCCCTGAGATTGGAGTTGCTAATGGTTGTGAGTCACCATGTGGGTGCTAGGAACTGAACCCTGGTCCTCCATAAGAGTAACAAGTACTCTTAACTGCTGAGCCATCCCTGCAGCCCGTATACTGGGATACGAAGCAAAGAAAGAAGCCACTGCCACCATCCTCAGGGAGCTGGCATACTTTGTGGTTGAGGAAGGGAGCAGGACGGTAAACGCAATGCTAACTACAACACGCAGAACTGCTTTAAGTGCCTTGAGGTATAAACAGGAAAAGGAGCTAGTGGGTGACACTGGAGTTGAAATTTGAAGGAGAAAATTATCTGACTTTCTGGGAAGATAGCATTCCAAATGGGAAACAGCAGGCATTAGAATTCTGAGGCTGGGACTGGGATGATAGCTCAGAGGTTAAAAGCACTGCTACGCTCCCAGTAGACCAGGGTTCAATTCTCATCACCCACACGGTGTATCATGATCACCCGTAGCTCTAATTCTGGGAGATTTGACGCACCAGACACACACATGGTGCACAGACATAGATGCACACTAAACACCACACCCATAAAATAAATAGACAGACAAATATTTTCAGGAAAATAATTCTGAACCTAATGGATACTGGGAGAGTTTGAGAACTGGAAACAACAAGTTTGTGTGGCTGGGGCAGAGTGAGGAGGGAAGGATCTGATAAGGAACTGGAGGAAAGAGGGACAAAAGCAGCGGTGATCTGTCTGCTACAGCCAAGATGCTGAGCGACTCCACAGACATGAGAGCAAGTTTGAGTGTTCTGAAAGTGGCTAAGGCCACCTTTGTCAGTAAAACCTTCCAAAGCAATTCAATTTTACTATGCATTTGCTCCTTTTAAGACCAACTTAACAGCCTGGTCTACAAGAGCTAGTTCCAGGACAGCCTCCAAAGCCACAGAGAAACCCTGTCTCGAAAAAGAAAAAAAAGAAAAGATTCAAATCGAAATATTCAAGTGTTTAAATAGTGCCTCGCCCAGTAGGCACTCAATAAAGGTTGGTTGTCATCGGTGTCACTTTATGTCTCTTGCAGTCACCCCCAGCTTCCTGCCATGGCCAACCCCCCATGCCATCCTCCACACTGCCTAGAGGAGTGATTTCCTGAAGTCACAGGTTTAGCTGTCCCTACTGCTCACCGCTGCAGTGACTCTTGATGGAAGGAAGAAATTCAAACTTCACAGACTGCCCTGAAGGCCCTTCTTGATGCAGTCACTGTCACCCTTGCCAGCCCCTACTCCTGCTGCCCCTACCTCCTACTTTTTACCCGCACCCCCCCAGCAGTCATAGGAAACCCTTTGTTCCTAACTTGTTGTCTTTGAACGTGTGGTAGCCTCTGCCTTGACTTGTCCAACAGCAATCCCCTGTGATTCTCACAAGCTCTGCCTGCCCAGGCTGCCCCCTCCCCTACAGATCCGTTTCCTGCATCACCAAGGTCTGGAGTGGTCTTCCCTCTCTTGTTCCTGCAGCACTTAAGACTAAGCCTGTCACAGGCAAGGCAGATGTGCCACAACAGACTTCATTACTGCTAACATGTCTTGGTTCACAAGGGTCAGCATGGGTTAAGAAGCTTGCTCTGGTCAAAGTAGACAAAAACTGACAATCAGACTCCAGGCCTGTCTGATTCTGGATTGATGTATGCACACACACACACACACACACACACACACACACACACACACACACCAATCTCAAGGCACTTGGGAGTGGAAAAATGTTGATCTTTGTAATTGTTCCCTGTTTGGGAAGGGTTCCAGACTGGGCATTAAAAGTTACCCTCAGAATACAACTATTCATCGGCTTATTTAATAATTCATACTCATTTATTCTCATTCATTTACTTCCTCATTCTTCTATTCATTCCTTCACCCACTCATTCACACTGAGTAACTGTGCTTAGAATTTTGCTCCTAGAATCTATCCCTATCTGCTGTACAAGTTGAGAGCCAGGACCTGGACTAGGGAGAGGCGGCTCAGGGAGAGCACAAAGGCCTTGCGGTTGGTTGACCTTGGAAAGGGTTTGCTGGTGACTTTGGAAACGGGATATTCTGAACCGAGTGTGCACATTCACAAAGAACAGCTCGGAACAGCTACAGATAGGAGGGAGAGTGAGGATCATGACGGAGCAGGCTGGGGACTGCAAAAGTCAAGGGCAAGATTAATTTGGGAGTTAGGTATGGTGCAAGGTTAAGGTTCGGGTTGAGTATAGGTTTAGATCTTGAAATAGAATCCTCTCTTTATTCCCCTCGAAAGGGTTTTGTTTGTGTACTTATTTGTGTTTTGCTTGTTTGTTGAGATCGGTTCTTGCTGTGTACATGAGGCTGGCTTCAAACTCTAGATAATCCTCCTGTCTCAGCCCCCAAGTGCCCAGATTACAAATGTGTGCCACTGTGAAGGGTCCAGATTCATACATTCTCCCTCTTTCCCCTGCCTAGTGCACTGACTCTGGGATGCTCCAAGAAGCAAAACCAACCCCTATTGAGACAAATTGGCTGCCTGACCCTTCTGGGCGTCCTGAGGCCCAACAGTCAAACTGCCAGTTTGGGATACTTGTCTGTGTTGTGGGCACCTCTCTGGCGGGCCCCACGGGTCAGCATAGATGTCCTTTTCTGCTCATAGACTTCCCCCAAGCCACGCTGCCCCTCAGCACACCTCTGAGCACACAGTAGGCGCTCCATCCAGACTGGCTCTTTGCCCTCATTTCCCCACAAAGGCCGCTGCAGGAGCCCCTTCCCGATTGGGACCACCCAGGTGTTCTGACTCACCTGTCTGGAGGACAAGGCTGCGACATTTCCAACCCGCTCTTCTCACCCCTAGTCCCTGCCCATCCCAGTGCAGCGCAGCTAGGGTCCTGCACTGCCCCAGGCGCGGAGCCGCGCAATTACCCTAATTACAGCCCGGCCTCGGCGGCGGTGGAGAGCGCGGCCACGCCGGCCTGAGAACGCCCCCGGTCCCCGGCCGGAGCGTGGGAACCTCGGTGCCCTCCGCCTGGGGCGGCGGCGGCGGCGGCAGCGTCGGGGACCCGCCCGCTGGGGAGGCCGCGAAGCGCGATAAGCCCGCCCCGCCGCTCCCGCCCGGCTAATGACTGGGCCTCTCTGGGAGCGCGGCCCCTTTCATCAGCAGGTCCCCAAGCGCCCCGTGCCCATTAACTCCCCAGCCCCCACACTGGGTGGAGAGCAGCGGCGGGCCTGCAGCCCCAGTTGCCAGGCAAAGCCGAGTGGCTATGCAGGCCAGGAGGTTCCCAGGAGAGATGCGGCGCCCTGCTGCCGGGCTTCGTCCCACAGCTGCTCAGCACCTCTCTCACCCGCTCCTCCATTCACACGCCCACTCATTCATTTATTCACTAAACAAACGTTTTCTGCGTCCCTTCTAACTATTGTTTCCTCTTCTGTATACGGGAATAATAACATTATCGCAAGTGTTTAGGTGGTACGGGAGGGATGAGGGAAGCCACTGAAAACCTGTTTTGAAACCGACCCATCCCACCTGCACCCCAGATCACTTGGCACACCAGTCCTGGATGAGGTAGAATCCAGTTTACAGAGGCAAGAGAAGCGATGGAATTAGTCAAGGTGACAAAATGGCAGGTGTGTCCTCTCGCACTTCTGCACCCCACAGTGAGAGTGCAGTTACCCCAGGACCCCAGATGAAAAAAAGGCTGTAGCTGGCGTTTCTGGGACACTTGGCACCAGGCACTATGCAAAGGGCACATTGTCCCCCTTTAGTCCTTGTCGCAGGAATCTGAAGCTGAGAAAATCCATTTCTCAGGGCCACACAACCGGAGTGACTGGAATAAGGTTTGGGTCCAATCAGACAAGGCCATGGAGGTTTGTTGCTGTGTGGTGGACGTGGAGCAGCCTCCCTCTTTGGTGTCCGTGCCAGTCTCAAGAACATGGATTCATTCAGCAGCTTCCCACCCCAGGGACCCTCCACATCATCCACAACCTCAAAATACACAGGAAACAAACAGTGCCTAGAGCCACGGGCCTGGGATCCCAGCTACTTGGAAGAATTAAAGGAAATGAGTTCAAGGCCAGCCTGGACAACTTAGTGAGACCCTGTCTCAAAAGAAAAAGTTAAAGGCTGAGAATGAAAGCTCGATGGCATTGCTCCGCATGCACAAGGCCCTGGGCCTGATCCCCTCCCCAGTACTGCAAAACAAACAGCTGGGGGTGGGGCAATCCAGAGCGCAGTTTCCAAAGATTTGGTACTACAGAACGGCAGGAGAAAGGGAAGTTCAATCTGGATGCAAAACCTCTCTGGGACTCAGTTTCTCCTCTATAAAAGGGGTACAGTGGTCCTGTACACAGTGTCCTGGAACTCATTCTGCAGACTAGGTTGTCCTCAAACTCACAGAGCTCCACCTGCTTCTGTCTCCCGAGTGCTTGGATTAAAGACATGCGCCACCAACGCGGCTGAGCCAATATTTATTAACCATCAACTAATGGATTCAGTGCTAGGGTACAGGTCATGGGGTTTTGGAGAGACAGGACACAGGGTTGTAGGTGTCAGTTTTGCAGGGACTCCTTGAGGAAAGTCATTAATTCCTTGTGCCTAAGAAGCTTAGCCACATGACCTGGAAGTCCTCCCAAGAGTAGACCCCAAAAGGAAGAAACTCTGAGGTTTCTGAGGCTTCACACCCAGAAGCCATGCTCTAAAAATCTCTCTGTTCAGTATGGCAGCCATCTACCCCATGTGGGGAGGCAAAACTGTAATGTAATGGGTCCAAGGGGCTGGCTCACTGAGCAAAACGACCATTGCCACGAGCCTGACAACCCGGGTTCAGTCTCTGGGACCCGCATAGTGAAAGGGAAGAGCCAAGTCTTGAGAGTTGTCCTCTGACTTCCACACACCTTTGAATGTGCATGCACACGCACACAAATAAATGTTCTTAAAAGTTGTGATCTAAGTACTAAACACACCACTGTTCTCAAGACTTATTACAAAAACCCATGATAGCTTTATATACTAGGGACAGAATGTGGCTGAGTGGTAGAGTGCTTGCCTAGCATGCACAAGGTTCTGGGTTCGATCACCAGCACTATACTGCTATTATTTTTATATTAATTGCCTAGTATAATGAAGTTATTTTGAATTGAAGGGGTTAAACTAAACATGCCAATGAAATCCATTCCAGCCATTTCTCTTTTCCTTTTAAAATGTAGCTGCCAGTAGGGCCTCATTGCTTAGCTGGTTAAAGCAGGTGCCTAGTAAGATGTGGCCATGTGAACATTCCCGATCGCAGATATGACTCACATTTAGATTTCTACTACACAGCTCTGATTAAAGATCTGGGAGCCATCCTGCTGAGCCAAGACTTCTTCCCTGGTCACCATGAACACTTCCTAATGGGGTGCACCAGACCTTGGCACCTTGGTAAGAGAGAGCCATTTCCTTCCCCAACATGGTTCCACCCCAGTTTTGCTTATTCCTCTCAGGGCCCTTCTTGCTTGGAGCATGACAAATGAGACCATCTTCCATTGCCAGTCTTTTTTCGGGACACTGACCAAGATGTGCCTGGGACATCCCTTCTAAGGGTAGCCCCCAAGCCCCCAGCAGACTCAGAACCGTGCTACCCAAAAGCACCTCTGTGGCCCCTTACTGTGTTCCGGGATATTAGTTTAAAATGTGTTACATTTGTTTATGCTGTGGAATATTTGTTTAATGATGCAAATACATGTTACATCCTTTTATGTTGCATTTGTTTAACTCTGTGAAACTGTGTTACTTGGCCTGCCTAAAACGATTGATCTAATAAAGAGCTGAACAGAGGATATCTAGGTCGGAGGGGGAAACAGATGGAAGCTTTCAGGCAGAGAGAATAAATAGTAGGAGATCGTAGGAGAAATCTAAAAAAAGGAGCTAGGAGAGAGAAAAGGAAAAGGAGAGGAGGATGTCAGGGGCCAGCCGCCCAGCCACACAGCCAGCCGCAGAGTGAGGAGGAAAGAAGGGTATATAAAATAAAGAAAGGTAAAAGCCCAGGGGCAAAATGTAGTTAAAGAAAAATGGAATAATTTACATTAGAAAAGCTGGCTAGAACAAGCCAAGCTAAGGCTAGGCTTTTATAAGTAAGAATAGGTCTCTGTGTATCTATTTGGGAGCAGGGCAGCAGGTCCCCAAAGAGGGGAAAAAAAACCTACATTACTGTCCAATCCTGTTCCCTTTAGTAGTCTAAGCAAGGTGAGGGAGCAGGACTCAAACCACATGGAGTCCTCTGTCCACCTCTTATAGGCCCAGCCAGGACTGCTCTGGGCTGGACATTGAGAGCGCACAAGATTCTCCCTCTGGGAATTGGCACATTTGTGGAAAAAGCAGTTGTGGTCCTATCCAGAAGACAACTGAGAGGTGATCACACAACCCGTGTCTGCTGGGTGAGAGCAGGTCCTTAGGGAGATGGGGCAGAGAGATAGGATGCCGTTTCTCCCCACACCACACCCACCAGCATCTCTCTCCACAATTTGAGAAAGCTATAAAGCTTGGGCCCTATAGTTAACAGTGTAACCCAAGGAAAAGTCCTTCAATGGAGGGTTAAAATCATGATCAGCAAAAGGACTTGTTGAGTAACCTTAAATACCTTTCTGACTGATGAAATTCCTTCCATTGAATTGAAACCATTTCCTGCTAATGTCCACCTAGATCCTGCCATGCCTCCCAAAGTCATCAACATGTGACAGACATTCAGAGATCTGAATGTAGTTTGATTAAGAGCTCCCAGACTCTGTCCATCCCTGGGCTAGTATCCAGTTCCTTCTGTGGAGAGTTTCCATCCGCCTAGCCCGCAGCCCTTTGGATCTTCCCAGAGACCCTGTAAAAGAGAAAAGTGGAATAATATGGTTATGAGGAGTGTGGGCTCTGGAGTCAGGCAGCCTTGGGAAGGGTCCTAGCTGCACTGTCTTCTAGCTGTGGGATCTGGGGAGGGGGAAATGCTTCAGCTCTCTGTGCCTCGATTTTCTTAAGAAGTGAGGAGAGCCGGGCACATGCCTTTAATCCCAGCGCTCAGGAGGCAGAGGCAGAGGCAGAGGCAGAGGCAGAGGCAGAGGCAGAGGCAGAGGCAGAGGCAGAGGCAGAGGCAGAGGCAGAGGCAGAGGCAGAGGCAGAGGCAGAGGCAGAGGCAGAGGCAGAGGCAGAGGCAGAGGCAGAGGCAGAGGCAGAGGCAGATGGATCTCTGTGAGTTCGAGACCAGCTTGGTCTACAAGAGCTAGTTCCAGGACAGTCTCCAAAGCCACAGAGAAACCCTGTCTGGAAAACACACACACACACACACACACACACACACACACACACACACACACACACACACACACACAGAAAAAAACCAAAAACATGCTTTTCTACAGTGTTCGAATCAAAGATAAGAGACACATCAAGAACACCCTGATTCCACTGGCCCCTGAGGACCAGCTCTGTCCTGACCTGTGTTAGTTATCTTTCTCATTATTGTAAAAAAAAAAAAAAAAGATCCCAGTAGAAGGAACTAAAGAGTTTGAGACGGGGTATGGCCCATCACAACTGGAAGGCGTGGCAGTGGGACATGAGAGAGGCGATCACATTGTTCACAATCAGGAAGCAGAGAGATGCTGGTACTCTGCTCAATGCCTCCTTTTTATTCAGTCTGGGACCTCAGCACATGGGATGGTGTCACCAGTACACAGGATGGGCTTTCTCTCCTTGGATAAATTTTTCTAGAAACATCTTCACAGACATACCCGGAGATGTGCTTCCAGGGTGATCCCAAATATAGTCATGTGGACAATGAAAACTAACTATCTTACTATGTGTCCTATAACTTGTGGTTTAAAGTCATCTTGCTTCTGCTGTGTAACACTGGTAAACATCTGGATACCTTAAAGCAGGAACCAGCTACCGCTTAGGTCACAACTCTGTGTATTCTGCTTACCTGGGCTCAGTAAGCATCTTCATCTGCCTGGCTTTCCTGGACTTATTCATGCAGTCCATGGGGAGCTTAAACAAGGCTGGATCATTCAGGATAGCCTGAAGCTGATTTAGTGCTT